TGATGGTGTCCCGATCATGTTTTGATTGTGTCCCAGTCATGTTGTGACGGTGTCTCGGTCATGTTTTGATGGTGCCCTGGTCATTTTGTGATGGTGTCCCGGTTATGTGATGATGGTGTCCAAGGAAGAGATGGTCGATGTGTTGAAAACAGCAGCTGTTTCCAGATTTTTCTTTTTGTCCCGGTTTGTATCTTGCTATTGGGGTCTCCAGCTGGGCTAATTTCTTCACCAGCATGGCCTAAGCAACACGGTGCCGAAACACATGGTTGCCTCGCAGGGAGAAACATAGAGAGTTCTTGGTATCTATGTGTTGCTCGATGATGTTTGATGATCAGTTTGATGTATACCAGGGTTAGCTCTTGCTCCAGGTAGCTCTTATAGATCTTTGCGCTTTGCAACTTCAGGCTCGTTCCCGCAATGTACATGGCACTTTCATGTCTGGTTGGATCATGTCTTCCAGTTACATTTTTTGAGGAAGTCTCGCAGAATTGCTGTGTTTTGCAGGTCTTCAACATGCACTTTGGAAGGAAGTCTCGTACAAAATGCGTTTTTGAGAGATAGCGGACGCACAAAATGTTGTGTTTTTCCATACAAAGTGTGGCTCCGAACCTGGAAAGTCAAGCTCTGCGGAACGACGGTTTCCGGACGGTCTCGCGTCATGCTCGGATCATGCTCGAATCGTCCCCCCACAGTAACTAGAGTTTTCACCTGTTTCTGGTGCACGTGCTGTTGATGGAATTCCATTGCGTTTTGCAACTCCTGGATGGTTTCCGCACTGTAAATGTGACTGCAAGTGTTGCTGGTGGATGAGTTGTCGCTGGAATTTCATTGTGTTTTGCAACGTTCCCGCAATGTACATGGCACTTTCATGTCTGGTTGGATCATGTCTTCCAGTTACATTTTTTGAGGACGTCTCGCAGAATTGCTTCGTTTTGCAGGTCTTCAACATGCATCATCATCATCATCATCATCACCGTCCTCGCCATCATCAACATCATCATTACCATGCTCATCACAATCAGCATCACTAGCGCCGTCATCACCATTGTCATCATCATCATCATCATCAGCACCATCGGCACCAGCATTGTCATCATCATGATCATCATCTTCACCAGCATCATGTTCATCACCATCGTTACCATCCTCATCATTACAATCATCATCGTCATCGTCATCGCAATCACCAGCATCACCTTGCTCACCATCATGAACATCATGACCATCATCATCATCATCGTCATCATCATCTTTTCTTTCATACGCTCTTCGGTCGAAGATCGCGTGGACCCGTGAGTCCATCTGGTGCCCCGTGGGGCCGAAACCTCAGCTAAAGGTCTGGTCCAGCAGCCGAGCTAGTGTGGATGCTCTGGCTGCTTCTTTCTGGTGGGACCTCAACTGCAGATGCAAAATGGCGAACTGCCTCAGGCATGGGCAGACGTGGTCTTCTTCTAGACCCGTGCCAAAGAAAGGCTGACAGGCGCACCACCGCGTTGGGTGGGCGTGTGAAATGAAGCTCACTGCACTCTTCTCCGCCAAGGGGGCAGCCTCGTTCCACCAGGTTCTATGTGCCACCTGCAGGTGCCCATTCATGTCCCGAGGCCAGCTGCCGCAGGTAATGCATTTTTTCACAAGTCGGTGGCAGAGGCTGGGATTGTCCACAAGGATATTGGTGTCCAGGAGATCAAGGCTTCGTAGCCATGCTCCATGCCAGTTGTCGTTGATAGTCGGGTCATGGATGATGTTGTGCATCTTCTCCTCCTCGGTCAGGATGGGTGATTCGTCTGCCATCTTTGACACCTCTTCTGCTCCACCGTGAGGAGTGCAGTTCAGCCAAAGCAGGCAGCTGTTTTCTTGAGCCACCAGCGGTAGTGCCGAGAACTTGACCGGCTCATTGGAGTCGTCGAAGATCCACCACCAGTCCTTGTCCTTGATGGCAGTGCAATAGTGCCCACTTGTTGCTTCATCTCCAAGATGAGAGGAGACTCCGGTGACCACAAATGGGATGTAGTCCACCTCGAGCTTTTCGCCCAGAAAAAAGGGCAGCCAGACCTTAGAGTCCCATGTCAGGCGGTTCTGGCTTTTCCTCCCTCTCGAGTCAAAGCGGTCAATGTGCAAGCATGTGACATCTGAAGGATCGGTCAAGGCGTGTAACCCGAATGACGCAAGGCTCCACGTGGAGACCAATCCCTGCAGATCGATGGGGAGCGTGCTCTTTTGTTCGCTGCAGATGTAAAGATGCAAAGGGCATCCTTGGGCATTGTGGTCCACCACCTTCATGGTGCCCTCCTCATCCAGCCGGCTTTCCCAACAACAGCTGAGAAAAAAGGGATTTGTTTGCTGAAGAAGATGATGAGCAAAGTCAACCACATCATGTTGCCGAAAAGGATTGGACCAATTGGCTAGGAGTGAGGTCCACTGCCCATCTGACCATAAAAGAAGCGGTTGCCCTTTGGACACATCTGTCAATTCCCCAAGAACCCCAGGGAAGTTGGACCATTGATCCATCTTCAACCCGTCAGCATGAAGGGCGCTCCAGGCTAGTCCAGTCACAGCTGAGTTCATGTAGCATGCTGCAGCTGGGTTCTGAAGTGTCCGAACAGGAGGAGTGGTGGGTTCCATCACAGTTGATCCAGCATTTTGCCCAGGTGCTGAGCGAGTGGTGTCCGGTGGATGCTGGCCGAGCGCATCCTGCCCAACACTAGTTGCCATAGCCCAGAGTGACTCAGTTGGTGCCACAATCCCCGCATCTCGTTGGCATGAGGATGAACCAGGGCCAGTGTTATTCTCCAGGGGATGATGGCTGAAGGTGTCTCCGTCTCCGTGGTCATTACCTTCTGGATGTGATGGGGAGATCGGAGTGCTCCGAATCTCTTGACCAGAGCTTCTTGCTGAAGTAGAGTGAGCATCCTTGTCACCGTCTGGGATGCTTGGGTCAAGGTCAGAGGAGCGTCCTCCTGAGCCTCCATCGCCTGCTTGCTGGAATTCCACTTCATACGAGGAAACATGTATGATTCGGGCTTCTCTGGCTCGAGCTGCAAGAAGTTCAGGCGTTGCAATGTCTGGATCAAGGGCTCGGAGGAGCCCGTGGATTGAAGTTTCTGAATCCTCTTCAACAATTCCTCCAGGAGGGTCTTCAGGACCAGGATCCGGAGTGGATGTGTCCGCTCTGCCTGTGGTGTCTGCTGCCAGGTCTGTGTCTGGGCCATCATGAGAGGAATCACTGAGCCTGGACCCACGCTCAAAAAAACGAAGAAGTCCGTCTCCATAGCCAGGCATTGGAGTGTGTCTTCGTGCCGAAGGACGAGTCGGGTCATGGCTTGAAGGAGCGTCTTTGTATCTTGTGTGGGTTCGTCCTTGGTGTTCAGGATCTTCCCCTGGCCTCTTTTTCCTTTTCCTTTGCCCGGCCCCTTCCCTCCATTCGACATGGAAGACCTCGGGCGCTTTGCGCTCTGCTTGTCCTCGTCCACCTCCATCTTCACCCATTGGTTCAGAGCTCCCCACATGTCCGAGATCTGGTTGTCCCCCATGTCCATGGTGGAGGATGGCAAGCAGGCCGGACAATTGGAGGAGAACTGGACACTGTACTGCGGTGGGGTGGTTGCTGCATATGGAACATGTTTGCTGTCGTTTTTGAGAAAAGGACAGAAACTTGTAAAACAAGGCACCACGATTCCCTTGTTTGGAGTGGTTGTTCCAAATGTGTTGAAGCATGTCTCTTGGGTCGACTTGTCTTCCACATAAGCAGCACCATGTACTGAGAGCGGTGCAAAGAGCGCTATCCGACAGAAGCTCTTCAAAGTTGCCCGTCGTGAGCATGCTGTCCGGGTCCGGAAAGTTCAGGGCCAGCGTGGGGCTAAGCACTTGGAGGTCCAGCCGCAGTGCATGTGCCAGGATGAGTTCATCGCTAGCATTCTGAAGCTTGTAGAGGTCGTGGTGAACAAACAATGCCAGCTGCGTGAAGACGGTGCAAACATGTGGTGTCGAGGGTGGCCTGAGACAGGAGCAGGCCAGGTTCCGTAGAGCACTGTCAGTTTGGAGCCATTCGGCATAAGAAGAAGCCATGGTCCAGGTAGTGGCATGCGCCGTGCTCAGGTGCTTCAATAGGGATGATGAGCTGGATGATTGATGTCCACACAGTCCCCAAATGTAGCCCAGTCTGCGAATCAGTGATTTGTAGGCCATCAGGTGATCGTAAGTTCCTCCATGCAGGCCTGAGATCACCAGTGGATGATGCCAAAGAAGAGGAGGAGCATCTGGAAGGGGTTCAGGACATTGGCCACCGTCAATGTGGTGCCGTAAGGCGGCAAGGCAAAGGAATGATGCGCTGCAGTGAGCACACTGTGTGAGGCCTGGCACTTGATCCCTCGCTGCCATGAAGGTCCTCGTGGTCGTAGAGTGTTGATGTTCCATAGCCTGGTGCTGATTTAGACCTGCTGCCGTCACGAATTTCCGTGGGCATTGAGCACAAGCAAACTGTGCATCCATACGTTGAGGAGGTTGAAGTACTGGTGGAGGGCATGCCGGATACTGCTCCCGGTGTTTCCTGTAGGCGAGTGCAAGACCAAGCTGCTTTTTCACCGGACAGGTGTGTGTCTTGGAGCGGAATTCTTGTCCACAAAGTTCACATGGAGAGTTTGTCCTAGCTCGAACAACATTTGGGAGGACGTCCCCCATCATGCCATAGATGTCTCCATGATCTCTTCCCATGTGTGCAGACATTTGCTGCAGTCGTGATGACCAAAAGCCGCAAAGAATGCACCGTTGGGTCAAAAAGTAGCAAAGACTCCTGTCATTGGCAAGGGGTGCCATGTCACCTTCATCAAAGTATGCCAGCAACCGTTGTCGATGTTCTTGAAGTTGTGCTGGCGGAGCCTTGGTGGAGTCAAATTCAGAACATGCATAGGAGCTGATGTGATGCCGGAAATTCTGCCAACTTATGAAGGAGTCTCCACAGTGCCGACATGTAGGTTTCCCTTCAACTGCATCTCTAGCTATGTCCAAGGCGGGACCAGCGCCATGCAAAATTCCGTGAACAAACAGTTCATGTCGTCTCAAGGTGTAGAGAAACTGAAAGGTCTGCCCACATTGGTGACAGTCCAGTCCTGCCTCTGCCAGTGGAAGCTTTGGTTGAAGATCCAGATCTCCAAGGTCCTGAAGCCATGCCTCAACAAGGTTGATTGATGTGTCCAATGCATGGAGATCAAGATGTTGGAGGATGTCATGAGCCTCAAGAAGTTGAATCCGGTCCTCATGCCTCTTCACCTGAGAGGCCATCCGCTCCCGAAGCAATAGCGCCGGGTGCCGAAGGTGGTTGTCGGTCAGAAAATCAAGGTGAGTGGTGTGAGTCAGAAATGAATGATCTCCGGCTGCTTGTCTTAACATTGTCGTCATGGTCTTGGAGAACATAGGAATTGAGGCGTGATCCACACCTGTTGCATCCAATCCGTAGACTCCTATGGGAAAATGCATGTCTGCCACAGAGCCACCTTCTGAGCCGAGTGCATGCCATTCTTTGTGAACCAAGGTTGCATCTGCTTGAAACGAACTTTGCAAGCTTGAAGACGTGCTTTCATGGTGTCTCTTTGAAAGTTGTGGTATCCCATTTGGACTCCCAAATATTCGTGCTTCTCAGTGATTGGTATTGCGTGTGAGCCACCTTCTGCCTTTGGAATGAGCAAAACCGAGCGATCCAGCTGCTTTTGCACGAAGCGTTTCTTGGCTAGACTCTGATGTTTGCCGCCCCAGCGAAGGATGACTGCTGATTTCTGCATGTTCACCGTCATGCCCATGCGTTCAAGTACAGAGATAAGTTTGCCAAAGAAAACAAGGCCTTGTTGAAGTTCCTCAAAGGTTCTGAAGACAAAACATGCATGACCATCATCCGCATAGAAGGTGCAGTGTTTCCGCATCCAGTCCTCTGAGGTTTCAGTCGCTACCATTTGCAGAATTAGTGCAATGAAACTGGCCCAGAAAAAGGGGACACCCCTGCAGCCTTGTCGAACTCCCCTGAAGGTAGCCTGTTCGGCTGAAATGCCTTTCCACTGAATAATGTATGAGGTTTCGGTGTGCCACTTCATCAAAAGAGATGTCAATTCATTGGGGAGACCAAGGAGAGAGAATGCTGCAGCGAGGTGTTCCCTCGGCATTGCGTCAAAGGCTCCTGTGAGGTCCAGGAAGAGTTGACACCCTCCAAACAGAAGGGGACGCTTCCCTCCGTGCCCGTTCACTTGACTGGCGTCATATCTCCAACGACGATGAAGCTCTGAAACCTCCCGAGAATGAGCTTGAACCCTGGTGATTGCTTCCCAGGTTCCCCTGCCCGGCAGGTAGGCGAATTGTGGAAACCATGTCAGTGCTGGGAGTGTGATCTTCCTGGCTTCATGTACAAAAAGAGACATGACTGTCTTGGAGAGAGGGGTCTGAAGAGCAATTGGCCGAAGTGCTTTTGGTTCAGTTGGAGGTTTGTTTGGTTTGGGCAGTAGGACCACCCAGCCTTTCCTCCATTCATGGGGAATGATGCCAGAGTGCATCCATTGTTCCAGCCAGGTGAAGACCAAGGGCCCAACCGAGAGAGCCAGCGCCTTCCAAATGAAGCTAGGAGCAATGTGCTGAGGAACACTGGTGCGTCCATAGAGACCTTGTAGTTCGTGAGTGAGATCTGTGGCATCAAAGGGTAGAGCTTCAAGTTGGAATTGAATGCCCGTGAGGTCCGAGCCTGCATAAAGGTCGGCCATGTAGTCTTGAATCCAACAAAGTTCCTCCTCTGGTGCCATGAGTTGTCCTTCAGAACGACGAAGTTGAGGTCGAGGAGGTCTGACTTTGGGGGTGAGCCGGTTGACCACCTTGAAGTACCTGTGCGATGCGTTGTTCGCCCAGTGCCACCTAGCCTCTGCAATTGTGTCGGAGAGCTTGGCTTTTTTGGCAGCCTTGGCTCTTTGATTGGTGGTCCTTTTCCATCGTTGAATTTTAGCTGCTTTAGCCCAAAGCCCAAAGAGCTGTTGAAGTCTGCTGGTAAAGTGAGTCCTTGTAGCAACTGGTGGGGGAGAGAGGCCAGGATGGCCATCCGCCCAGGACCAGAAGTTGGAAGGTCGATCTTGTTGACCCCTGGATAGAGGAGCAAAGTCTTTGCAGCCATCAAGAAGGACTGTATTGAGGGCTTCCAAATCCGGAGGTTGATCCCAGAGTAGCCCAATCTTGTGCTCTATGGAGGAGCAAAGAGAGTTCCAGTCCTCGCTCTGAAGTTCCCAATGTCGTAGGAGAAGGTCATGTTGTCCACGAGAAAGGCCAGAAGCGGGTTTGGCCCAAGCTCTCCATTTGTAGGGAACGGTGAAGAGGATGGGAACATGGTCTTTGGAGTGACCAAACTTCTGAGGGAGCTCATCCAGGTAGACGGGCTTCTTGGTGAGGGAGTCGCTTGATTTGTGCCTGACCAAGACAAAGTCAATCCTGGATTTGTTGGAGTGCCCTCCGGTGTAGGTGGGGCCCAGGTTGGTGTCCCAGGTGTTGATAGCCGTGAGGCCATGCTGAAGGAGAAGGTCTCCAAGGAGATTGGAGTCCGGATGCCTTGGCCCGGAGCGACGCCCCTTGTCATCCTGGAAGTCGCTAAGGCCTACACAATGCGGAGTCCGGTGAAGGCTTGTGTTCAGATCTCCCCCAAGGATCACCACATTCCTCTGAGGCAGCCCAGCCACGAGCTGTTTGCAAGCGTGTAGCAGTGCTCGACGGTGCTGAAGGCAAACAGGATCATTCTGGATCCAGGCATGTTGGTAGGCATTGATGATGTCAATGCCCGTGGAAGGAAGGTAAAGTCGAACATGGAGTAGTCTTCCAGGAACCACTGCACGCCATGAGATCCTGTCAAGATCACAGAACCCTTTCCTGATGATGGTCATCATCCCGCCAGTTTTCCCTGTGGAGCCGCTGTGGATGTAGGCATAGTGTTTGTCAGACCAATCACCACTGAAGCCCCAGCGAGTATCCTGCAGAATCATGATGTCAAGGTGTTGTGAGAGCATCCATTGACGAAGAATGTCAAATTTGTAGTTGCTGAGTGAGCAAATGTTCCAGCAGAAACCTGTGAGCCGATTTTTCCGAACCTTTGCCGGAGGAGGAGTATTGGGTGTCTGAGAGGAGCTCAAGGTGTCCTGTGGCCTTGGCTGTGGAGTTTCGTCAATGCCCAACATGGCAGCCGTGAGGAGGCGTCCACGATGCCAGGTGTGCCCATGTAGGTGAGCTCGTTTGAGTGCACGAATATAGGATTTCTTTCTGTGCTGAGGGTTTTGATGTTCCAGATGTTCAGAGGTAGGTCCAAGGCCACTAGGCTTCGCCATAGAAGGGTGTTGTAGGGCCAGGAATTGGGTGGCTCCCCCGAACCTCGTGGCAGGTCCGGAACCCTCGGGCCTCCAAGGCACAGCATCTGGGTTGAGCGTGGTCATGTAGTGCTCTATGAAGATCAAAAGAAAGCCTCCAGCAATGAGGAGGATCCGTGCCTTGGCCGGGGACTTGGGACCCCGGTTAGCTCTCGTCCCTTCTGCTAAGACCTGGGAGGTCGATCTTGAAGTCCAGGATCTATGTCTTGAAGGTGAAGAGGAGACCTGGTAGTGCAGAAAGTCCAGGAAGTGGGTCAGGAAGAACCCAACAATGTTCAAGAAGTGGAGCAAAAAGTCCGCGCCCCCTCCTGTCTTGGTGTCCGTGTGGAGGGGATGACCGTCTTGGGATCCTGCAAAAAGCTGGGCGTAGGACCGGTAATGGATGGACCCAAGAAACACGGTCAGGTCAAAGGCCAGGTTGACCATGAGCTGGGGCCTTCCGCACTAGCCCCCCCACCTTGGGGAGGTTGGGGGACCTGAGAGCTAATGGCCCTTGTCATCATCATCATCATCATCATCATCGGTGTAGTCATCACAATCACTAGCATCATCATCACCATCGTCCCCACCGTCATCACCATGCCCAGAAGTGCGTCTTTCTGGGCGGCCAGCCAGGCTGCATGTGACAGGGGTGCGGGAGCGATGATTGGATGACTGTTTGGTGGCAGACCGCAGGTCGTGTGCGAAGGGACACTCCGGATGCAGAGCTATAGGTCAATTTGTTCTTATAGGAAACTTCCGCCGCCGGCTTGCCCGGGAACTGCTTGTATCCCTTTCGCACTACCCTAGAAGATCCTTAAGCATCCAAGGAATTCCGAAGAGTCAGATGCCCCTAGAAGTCATGGATCCAAAATGGTGACCATGGATCCAACCCTGGTCACTGCCCATTCAAACTCTTTCATTGACTGCACGATGCAAGCTCTTCCAAACCAAGCGACACGATCCCGATAGATAAAGGATATCTTGTGACGCTGAGGACAATGTCCTGCAAGTTGCGGCGAGAGCAATGGCCTCCAACCTACTTACTAGCGATGGCCGCGATGGCCATAGGGGCCGGGACTCGCTCAAGTCGTGCTCCAATCCTTCGCCTCGAAGGTCTCGTTGAATAAAACATCTTGAGCCTCGGTGAAACATGAACATCTCGGTGGATATATATATATATTTCTTCTTCAAAAAAGAGGTATTGAAAGAAACACCGCACACTTCAACATCTAGAACTGAACTGTCCTTTAGACAAGAATGTGTTGATTGGAATGGTACTAGATTTTGGTAGGTCTCAGGCCAGCGAGAAGATGCTGAGGTGGGTCGTCATGCACCAAGTTCCGTTCGTTGGCCTCGAACGCACACACTTGAGTCGCTCAGCTTTCGACCACACGGGTCAAAATCGAAACAAAAGCACACAACCCACTCAAGATCAGCCTAACTTCCTCCTACAAAGTGGCTTTTGGGGTCGCCCAAAATACAACCCAGATTCCAGTTCCAAAATTCTACTAGTAGCAAGAAGCTACTAGGTGGAGGCCATTAGGTTGGAGGCCATCGCTACCAGTAACAAGAAGCTACTAGTAGCAAGGATGCGATTAGGTGGGGGCCATCGCTACTAGTAGTAGCAAGAAGCTACTAGTAGCAAGGATGCTATTAGGTGGAGGCCATCGCT